AGAATTTTTATTGAAATTTATATAAAAATTTAGAAAAATTATATTGAAAATTCTGAGAAAAATGTTTATCAGAGTGATGGTATACAAATATTTTTCTTCGAATTTTTAATATAATTTTTCAAATTTTTATATTTTCAATACTTCTGAATAATTTTTAACTTTTTAGAAAATTTTTCAGATTTCTTATACTTTAAGAATTCTTTATATATATATACGTATGTAAATTCTAAAATATTTTATTCTGAATTTTTATATAAATTTCAATAAAAATTCTGTAAATTTCTATAAAGATAATATTTTACAGAATTTTTTAATAGCTTTGAACTCTTTAGGAAATTTTTCAGATTTTTTGTTCCATATTACTTTTTGAGATCAGAGATTTTGTTCCATATACAATTACGAAAGGAAAATTAAGCTTTTCTTGTGACAATCTTGATGCTATACATAGAGCTTAACAATATGAATGCTATGATATGAATGCTATAATTATGAGATTAGTGAAATATATTGGGAGTATAAATAAGTTTTCGCTGTTTGACAAATGGCGCTACCAGTATGTTATAGTTAAAATTGCCAGCTGTAAAACGTCATATCGTAAGGTTGGACATCTGGCAAGAACATAACCTTGAAATATTAGCGATTTTGCATCAGCATCTTATATCTTTTTTCGTGCGAAAATGTCGAGTTTTGAGCCGAGTAAGCATCATTTGCGGGTAGTTTTGATTCTCTTGTTTAATTTGAAGAAATCTGCAGCTGAGGCGCATCGATTGCTTGTAGAAGCATATGGTGAGGCTGCCTTAAGTGAGAGAAGTTGCCGTGAGTGGTTTCAAAAGTTTAAGAACGGTGAATTTGACATCGAAGACAAAGAACATAGCGGAAGGCCGAAAGTGTACGAAGACGCGGAAGCACGCAAACGTGCCAAACGCAAGAAGTACTTGCACTTACATTAAGAGTGACTCAACCAGCAATTTCACATCGCTTAAAATCGTTGGGAATGATTCAAAAGCAAGGAAATTGGGTTCCATATGAATTGAAGCCGAGAAACGTTGAACGCCGATTTTTCACATGTGAAATGCTGCTTGCCAGGCATAAACGAAAGGGTTTTTTGCACCGTGTA